AATAGGGTCTTGGGGTACATTATACTAGAATTCGAATAAGGACCCCCAAAAAAAATATTATAGGCAATTACCCCTTCCGGTTAATAGCCCTGCACAACCCCCCCCCACCCAGACCTCTAAAAGCCAACCCATAAACCCTGTAAGCCCCGTATAATCAAACCAGTCAAAAACCCTTGAGCTTACGAGTTACAGCAAATCGACATGTGATTCCTCGACCCCCCCCAAAAAAAAAAACACATAATAAAATTATTATTATTAGAACACAACTATACCAACCCTGTCGAAGCTTTAACTTCCTAAACCCGAAACCCTCCAAGGCCCGCCTCCTGGAAGCGCGGCGACGCCTCGGAGGGCGCCGTGGAGACCTCGGCCACGGAGCCTGCGGAGGCCCTCGCCGGGGCGCAGCACTGCTCAGGCGCTGTGCCTGCGTAGCTCCAGGCCTCGGTCTCCGAAATAGAAAGATCATTAAGGGGGGCGGCTGAGGGGGTTTTTATAGGGGTTGTGGGCTCCAGGCCGCAAAGATCTACATAGCTATCTCCAATTAAGGGCTTCCCCACCTATGCCAAGAACCCAGCCAAGCAGCGCACTGCCCCTCCAACGGAATCTCCGAAGCCGGGCATGCCATCTGTGCGGACTGCATCGGCAGCGGCAGCATTGGCTGCACCTGCTGCGCTGCCTGCACGTGCTGCAACGGCAGCATCTGGGGCATCTGCATCGGTGGCTGCCACCACCCCTGCGGCATGGAGCCCTGGGTCATTGTCGCTGCGGCTCCGGCTGCGAAGCTCACGCTGGGACCCTGGACGGGATGATAAGGCATCTGCTGCACCTGGTCGGCTGGCACCATGTACCACATCACCTGGGCCCATCTTCATCGAAGAACGAAAACGACAAAAAAAAACAAAAGAAGCACAAAAAACACCTCGAAGCCCCAGACCTTAGAAACTCCACATGCCAGGCCCAGGCCCCACAAAGAAAGGGATCCTGAAAGCTGACCCAGTCACGGGCATCGGAGTCGACTCCTCCTGCTCGTAACCGAAACTCTGCTGGGATGGCACCATCTCAGTCTTCCCCTAAGTCTAGAAGATGGCTTGATCAGTGAAGGCCTGCGAATGTACACATGCACTTGGCAATCTGGCGGTTCCGATGATGGTCATGAGGTCTTGGTGTGGGTGTTCGCTCTTGTTGCAATTCACCGCAGTTATAACTACGAAGGTCCGCATCAGAATGCTGAAATGCACGGAGCACGGTGACCGGGAGTTGTTCGCCATGCTCGTCTGGCTCACCACGAACTCCACAGTGCGAGAAGGGCTTATACTAAAGCAGAGGCCAGTTGGAACGTCACCCTAAACCCTAAACCCTAAACCCTAAACTCTAAACCCAAACCCAAAGCCCTAAGCCCTAAAACTATCCCCATCCCCAGAAAGTAGAGGGAAACCCGGCACTAATCATCAGTAACCCATGCTCGAACTTTAGGGCTTCCAGTAACCCTAAACCCTAAACCCCTAAACCCCTAAACCCCATAAACCCCAAACCCCTAAACCCTAAACCCTAAATCTGGACCTGCAAGCCTCGAACTCCTGACCGCCCCTGCACCTCACGCATGACTGCAAAGTCGCCGGGGTGGAGTGGGGGTTCCTCCCGACACTTCGGCGTGGCTTGGGGTTCCGGGTTTAGGGGTTTAGGGTTTAGGGTTCAGGGTTTAAGGTTCAGGGTTCAGGGTTTATGGCTTAGGGTTTAGGGTTTAGGGTTGATTGGTTTAGGGTTCAGGGTTCAGGGTTTAGGGTTTAGGGTTCAGGGATGAGGGTTTCCGGAATTATAGCAGGGCCTTGGGGTTGATGTTGAAAGGGCCTGCCAACTGGAAGCGCGCTTTGTGATGCATTTTGTGCTTCGCAACCCTTCCATATTTGCACAATTGCCCACTGACTCTATTTGCCCTCAAACGTACCCTCTTCGTGTTGGGAAGTCTTTAGCCGAAGGGCCTTCTCCTCTCTCGTTGTTTCGAGATGCCCACTGTTGCATCTGTCAACGAGGTGGGCCCAACGGCTGACCCAAAAACGTCGCCCCAGGGACCAGGTACCTTCTTTCTTGGGTGCCCAGAATTTCCAAGGAATGCTCACACACAACCTCGCTGAGCACGAAACATACGACAACACAGCATCAAAGCTTCTCAACCAAAACATGCTATCTGAGCCCAGAGCCCTGCGAGTCGGACATATATATGTATATATAGGGGAAGAGATATACATCTCTTAATCTTGTGCGTCGTGTCTATTCTAGTAGCCTTCCTCTCATTACCGAACATGTTAAAAGAAAACTACTACTATATACCAACAATAAGACCGGCTGCTCGCGGTGAGCCTCCAAATCTCGCGCCGGGAAGTCCTGGGAGAGGAGGACTTCTTGGGAACCGGGACGCCGGGGTGAACACAGAGGAACCTTAGTCATTAGAATAGGGCTTCGGGATGCTTCGGGGTGTATTATGATAGAACTAAAATACTATAGTATGGAACCCTTAAGGAACATAACTCGTAGTACTTTAGTACTTAGCTCATGGTCTCTATGTGAAGCCCTCTCATCGGCCCCTGCTTCATGTATGGGAAGCCCCCACATTGAGCCGAGCGGCACCCTGGAAGCAGAGGGGCCCTGCGAGGTGTGTGGTGACCTCGGCGAGGAACAGGCCGAAAGCGTAGGGGACCGGTTACAAACCCAATACCCCTTAATTAAGGAATGTACCTTAAACTATAGGGGCCTTAATATTATGATTTAAGGTATATTCCTTAAGTAAGGGATATTGGGTTCTCTGGGAAAGGGTGTCGGGGTTCGGCTAGGGGTTTGGGGGCGTTCCGGGTTTGGCGCGTAGGCTCAGGCGCGAGGCTTCAGGGTCTAAGGTCTGCATGCAGGAAGGACAACGTTCAGTGTTGGGGCGGCCGCGGGACAGCAAGATTACCCCGAGAAAAATGCTATGGGAAAGTATGGTATATGGTATATCTAGAGCAACAAAACACAGACAGGTGCCTTTTCTAGAAATCATCAATTTAATCACTGACTGACAACACTTAGACTGCCAGGCCCGAAACCGCGGAATGCTACGCAGCTCTGAAACCAACTAAACCTGAAGAACGGAAAAGCAAATCCAAACCTGGAAGACTCTGAGCCCCAGAACTGCAAGCCCTTACGCAGCCTTACACTCTTAAACCCCCAAACCCCGAACCCTGACTCAAAAACCCTCCGAAATTCTACACCTGCTAAACCGAACACAAACTAGACCCATAAACCCTAAACCCTAAACCCTAAACCATAAACCCTAAACCCTAAACCCTAAACAAGTCCGCCCGGGTCTCCTGCCCTGGCGGCCTCCCGGCGGGCACGCTTCACTGGCTGGCCTGGGGCTGGGATGCAGGGCCCGAACAAAAAAACCTACACCCCCTCCCCAGAACCACACTTAGTATAGGGGGCTTAATAATTTTGGGTGCGTTTTGTCACCATAAGTAATATTCACATGTGTGGACTATAAGGGTATACCAGTAGAAACTTTCTGACCCCTACAGCAATCAGGTGGTGTTGAGAAGATACGAAAGGTCGGATGCCGGACACTTCCGCAGAATTTAGGTGGTAAGCTAACCCGGAGTCGCACATCCCAGATCCCCAAACCTATCATCCTAGGCACCAAAAGCCTACACGCCGGAAGCACGAAAACCCAAACCCCAAACTCTAAACCCCAAACCCCACAGCCCCCGGAGCCAGACCTCGTAACCATCATCCAGGAGAATGCCACAAGGCCCAAACACCCTCGAGGCAAGACCCCGACAGGACTCTGCGTCGTAGAACTCGATGCGACGTTTGTGATCCTATTGCAGGGCCCTTAATCATGAGAATGGGCTTTTATTTTATTTTTATTATTTTTTTTTTNNTAGGGGGGGGGGGGCGGAATAATATACTATAGTTGTAATCAGGAACCTCCCAAAAGAATGTTGAAAAATCGCTGGGCCCCTATATTACAACTTCCTCCAGGGTTGAAGGCGTGGGGCTTGGGGGGGTAGGACATGACAAGAACTAAACCACCAGCGCGCAGGACAGTAGCAACAGCAGGAGCGATAGTGATATCAATTGAAACACAACTGCGCAGGGAAGAACCTTAAATCCTAAACTCCCAAACCCCAAACCCTAAACTCCAAACCCTTAACCCTAATTCGGAAACCCTAACATGAGTTTTTGATGCTGACCCGAAAGGTTTCTTCAAGCCTTTCCACGGAGAAAGCAAGCCCTGAGGCCGTCGGCCTCCTAACATTGGGGTCTTCACTGGGATGGGGTTCGGGGAGATGTTATTCTGAAATCTAGACTGTGACTATGCAGAGACTATAGCAGGTGATTGTTTATGAATATTCAGACCCTTGCATTGAAGCTTCAGAGCAGCAGCCAAGACAAAAATCCCAGGTGATGTATGCTGGCTAGCACGGGGTTGGGGGATGGCGATGCTCCAAAATTCTGACAGTCACTACAGACTCAACCCTGAGCCGTTGGCCTTAAGTAGCCCTGGCCCTAAGCCCCAAGCTTGGCACCATCAAACCCTAAACCCTCAGCCATCGCGGGGGGCTCCTTCGTGTAGCACTGCCGCACGCAGAGATCGGCGCCGAAGTGCCTGGGGTGGCTTCGGGTGCACGATAGTATGCTGTAACATATACTGAAGTAAACTTACAACATCTTCTAATATCATATACCAAGTTATATACGACTTACAATAATGAATTGCAATATAATATACTATATTATACCACACTAGACTATACTACACTATACTACACTATACTATACTGACTATACTCCTATACTGTACTCAGTGGCTGCGGGTTTAAGGCTTGGTGCCCGACTAAGGTGCGCTACTCCCAAAGCAAAACAGCACAAGCTTCGCTCTCAGTTGACAACCGCAACAATTAGCAAACAAGCACTATAACTCCGTTTAGGGTTTAGGGATTTAGTGTTTAGGGGTTCAGGGGTTTATGGTTCAGGGGGTTAGGGTTTAGGGCTTTACTCCAAAGCATAGTGTGCAGGCCAACCCAATTAAACCCTTAACCCGAACGTACCCAGATGCATCAAAAGATCTCAGCACAATCACACGCCGCAAACGACTCTAAACAAATGCTAGGAGGCCTGATGCATGGAAAAATGTGCAACAACATTTGCGACTGCTATACACCCCTGAAAACCATGCAAAACCGTTAATATTCAAAAGAATACCTTCAAAGCCAAAGAAGCCGAAACTCAGCACCGCACCCCATGGCGATCTGCGCATTGCCCTTCTGGCTTCGAACTTCCTTCACGTATTCCAGGCCTCAGTCAATGAAGGGTTTCGGGATGGCAACATCATTAAGGTTCATGCTTGAGGGGTTTAGGGTTTAGGGTTTAAGGGTTTACGGGTTTAGGGTTTCCGGGTTTAGGGTTTAAGGGTTTAGAGCTTAGGGTGGGTTGATCGACCTGTGAGCCCTTTGCATTGTAGGGTGGTGGGGTCGAGAGTCTAGAGGAGTGGATCGATTCCCCAGTACCCAAGTGCTTCCCCATGCTCGCTGGTCACGAAACTTGATCATGCAATACAACTGTGGGTGTCGTGCGGACTTCAGGGATTGGCGTTTCTGGTGTCGGGCTTTGCTTAGGGTGCTGGCTTTTGTGCGTTCAGGCTTTAAGCGTTCTGCACTTAGAGTTGGGTTTCAGCGGACTGAAACGGGAAAGGACTCTGCCTTGAGACACTTGAGCCCTGTGCTTTGAGGAGCCCACAGAGTCCCATGCATATCCTTTGAATTATGGAGGGACCTTGGATACGATTTGCCCTAACCCTAAACCCCTAAAGCCCGAAACACCAGGTACTGAGCTCTCTGGGAAGCTGAAGCCTTAAACCCTGAACCCCAGGATTTCAGTGAGAGAGGGACCGGGACTCTCGGCTTGGGCCCCCCGACGCGAAGCCAGGAAGCCGGTTTTCGCCGAGAGCGCCTGGAGGATACCATCTTTAGCTGCGCATGCCCGAACGAAGTTGGGGTTTGGTTTCGGGAGCTTAGGGTGTAGGGTT